TGGTCTCGAAGCCATAGGCTCGGGCAATCCATTCGCCTTGGCCTCCCAAAGTGCTGGGATTACAGGCTGAGCCACTGAGCCTGGCCTGGACATGTATTTTGAACTTAACTGGGATTCTCTGGATTTGTGAATTGAAATGGATATTTTTGATTACATGCTACAGATTCCTTAGACAGATCCCAACAGATTTCTGAAACAGTGAAAGAACCCGATGTAATAACAACATCTCAGGCAATTCAAATTTGCTATATTTTCTTGACTGGTAAAGACTATCCTATTATTGGATTAATTATTTGAAAAATACATTCCCAAGATCAGAATGAAAAAATACCAGTTGGTTCCTTTATAGATGGCTGCTAAATTTTGAAATCTACTTTCTAAAGCCTAAATTAAACATTCCGACAAACACATATAATGCAACCCAAGGGCCTGTTTTCCCAGATGAAAACAAGGATGACCAATTGTAAACAAAAGGCTCCTCTGGGGTTTATCTCCTTACAATTCTAAAATCCCACTCCTGTACTCTCCAGTCACATATCATTGCGATGCTTGCCAACATTTTTTAACTCATGCCTTGCCTTCCTTTCTTCAACATTCAGCAGTAAGACAAGTACAACTGGACTTCTTGGTTTTAAAAGGAACAGGGGGATTTTTGTTAAAATGAACAATCGCTACCTTTGTCTGTGCCCTACTTTGTTCCAGAAAGGATGTAAGACAGTTATAATCATTACCTAATTGATTTGTCTCCCTCCCAGGCCCCCTCCTCTTCTTTATAAGCTAACATCTTCATGTTGATTTGTTTTAAATGAGAACCAATCATACACTTATACTTACCAAGACAATATCAGTCCCCTAAAGAGGGATCTATTCATTCAACAAACATTTACTGAGTCTCTGACAACTAGATGGCCATGGCTGCAAGCTTATAGTCTAGTGGGGGATACAGACAGGTCAACAGGCATTTACAACAAGGTGAGGTAAATGTGTGACAAGGAGACAGAGAATGCTTCTGGAGCACACAGAAGGGGCACCTCATCTAGACTTGGGAGACCAGAGAGGGTTCCAGAAGCTACATTAGCTAGGAACTCGAGGAACTGTGTGCCATTTGATGGCAACATGGAGAACAGCACCACGGAAACACCAGGTGGAGTCGATCCAAACAACGCATCCAAGTGAGAGGCAACTTCTGAATCCAGATATACAAGGTGGTTAACTTACCACTGCACCCACATAACCCATTGACTGGCCAAAATTTACCCAGTTCCTTTTGTTTCTAAATATATTCTGCTCTCCTGTCCTATTTCACTCTCTACCCATCTCCCAGCTACTTAACATTTCAACTCAGTCCAACAAACACATATCAAGAGCCCCTGTGGAAAACAGTGAGATAAGTACTAGACATGGGAAGGGAGGCACTGGGCTCCACACAAGGACTGCATGACCACAGAAGGACAGAGCTGAGGAAGGCCACATGATCACTCCACACTTTGTCCACAAACTTTGCAGAGGTGACCTAGCACTCACAATCCCACTTGTAAACCACAAGTAGTTTCACTTTGAACTTATCTTAGGTTTGACACATTTACTGAACCCTGAGTCTGTCATATTCTGAAGCCAGCAGCATGGGCTCTTGACACCAAAGTCCCTTCCCTGACAGTTGGACTATTTTCCTCTGTCCCTTTGCGTATACTTCCTGAAATGGTACATTTCCTGCTTTCAAAGAATACTGATATTTTCTTAACTCATTTCTACATATCACTGTCAATGTACAACCACACTACTGGGACCAAAGACAAATAATGAGTTTTGACCATTTGCTCTTCCAAAATTCACTGGATATTCTACAAGCTAAGTGATGGCTGGATGAATATACTTTTTAATATCTCTTCCAATCCTGATTTTTTAAAAATTTTATGACATAATTGAAGCTATATTTTTGAGGCACAGGTAGATAAAAAATTTCCCAGTCTATGATGCCACTGTAAAGGGAAAATGGGTCAGCATTTCACTGATACTTGGTTTCTAAAAGTTGCCAACACAACCACACAGTCAATAGGAAAGACCGCAGTTGTGTGTATACATAAATTGGGTCTAAGTCATACTTGGTGATATGTTTTACAACTAAAGACAGAGGGTTTCACTTCAAAAGACCAACTGAATACAAAATTCAACAATCAAAATAAAAAGAGTGACCTAAATGTTTTGGACTGTATGATACTTCACATCGAAGGATGTGTAATTATTTTGCTGTCCTTCCCAAAATTGAATCCTAACTTCATTTTGAGATCTGAGTACTAGAAAACACAGGCTTCCTGAATAAGCATTACAGACATGCAAAAGGCTGTGCCTTCTCACATGTGCTACAAAACCTCACATAGCTTCAATGCACCATGCTTTACACACCCAAAATGGAGAGTTTATCAATGAGATACACATTGTCACAGCAAATACTTCCATTTGTAGATTAAGTTATCATTCTCAAGATATAAAGAAGAGGAAAAGAAAAATCTCTCAAGCCCTGCATCAGTTGCAATCTAGGGAAAAAGCACACCCAAACCATCCTCTGTCTTTTGAGCCAATGCTCTCTTCTACTACTATGGAAACAGCCTTAAGGTCCCAGGAAGTCCTTAACAGCAAGGACCTAGTCATCTGGATTTGAATCTGGCATCTACCACTTCATAACTATGTGACTCTGGCAAGCAATTTAACCTCTCTGAACATTAGTTTCCTCGTGTGAAAAATAAAAAGAGAGAGATAATAATAACACCACCTTCCTCAAAAGGTTGTTGTCAGACTTCAATAATTTCTTCACCTCACCAATCTCTGGTTAACTCTAAAATGAGTTACTTTGAAGAACTCTGAAAGGGTTACTGGAATGTAAAAAAACAAACATGAAGAAGCCACTGGGTTCTAAAGAGAAAGGTTTTGTAATTGTTATGGCTCAATTGGTTGAGTCACATTTAATTAAGTCTGGAATTTTCAAGGACAAAAACAGAACTTTCCAACAGGACACCTAAGACAAGAAGCCATGTGGGATTTCAGCCGGAGAGCTCCTAAGAACTCACTCTTGAGGAGCAGGGAGGCAGCAGCAAAATATACTTTGCTGAAATGAGGGTAAGGGGGACACATTCCACCATCAGCTAGAGCCCATCTTTGTACAGGATCCTCCTACTCAATATTTTAGATCTACTGTTAAATCTTAGGTGAGCCAACTCTGGACTCTGTACAAATTTAAGGACACTGGGGAATGAGGGGGGAGAAGTCTTGTGAACAGAATAGTCCACAGAAATTGCCAAATAACTGTGAACATCTAAATGGATGACAGTTCGTGTGTTTGGGCCTCTAGAGTAAACCCCTCCATTTCCCCTGCCCTACTAATTCACTGCTTTTGTATTTGGTAAAAACTAAAACTGTCACTTAGGCAACATCAATCTCATTAGGAAAAGAGGACAACCCGACACCAAAAAATGTGTGGACCCTTTTGAAGGCAACTGATTCAAAACTTGTGAATCATTCTGAAATAGCCAGACAAGCAAAACCACATCAACACCACACTTAAATAAAATACATAGACACAACCACCAAAAACAAAGTGATGACTTGTTAGAACTCGAGTTCTTCTTTCCTATCAGGGCTGACGGCAATGCACACAATTAATTTTAAAACCATATTCCAAGGAAGGTGCCAAGTGGGTAAATGAAGCCCTCTAGTTCTCACTGGATAGGTTCCTATCTTTCCAGAACATACCTGCAGATATCACTAAGAGTTTACGGTCCCATGGGGGGTGGTAACTTGGCCCAAAGTACAGTAGTAGTAGGACAACCCTGAGCTGAGCAGCTGGGGAAGCCCAAGCAACAAACGCCTGTGTCAGCACATGCTCGGCAGAGGAAGTATCTGCTGCCGGTCATCCTGCCCTACTCTCCAGGGGTTACCAGTTACAGGAGGCCTAGAGTCTTAACATGGGGCCTTGAGCAGTTTCATTTGTGTCCTCCTTCACATCCCGCCTTTAAATGCTGCTCCAAACATTCTGGATTTTCTGAGACTCACATCCAGGAGAGATGGGCCACAAGTGTGTAGTCTCCATCACTGAAGCCTACCACCTGCAAAGCCAGAGTGTGGCTGGTTAGGGCCAGGTGAAACCACACTCCAGCCCCTCCATTCAACCTACCATTACTTTCTTTCTCCAGACTTTTTGCATCACCTCTGACTGCTCTCTGGGAATTGCTTCTACCTCCAGATCAAGAATTCCCTGAGCTCTTCCACATGTTTGACGTTTGCCCGAGTAGTGGTCAATAGTGAACTTTCTATTTCTCACACTCCCTTTATTTAGGACGTGTTGAAGGATCCACGAGCAATAATCAAGAACTCACATGATGCCACCCAATACCACAGAATCTCAGTGACAAAGAATCTTGTTTACAGTGTTCATCCCAAGGCCCACCACTCTAAGCACAACATCATGGGCACTAGGCACATATCTACCTCCTCCACGCTGTAGGAAGGAGGTCACAATGGGAAATCTGCCACCCCTCGAAGGAAGCAGACTTGGAAGTGTTTGTCCCCTGAGTATTCTGGGTATCTCACAGAAGTACAGGAGTAAGGGAGAGGCTGTCAGCACCAACAGGTGGACGGCAGGGAAAAAAGGAGGTGCCTTCTGTGCATAGCTGCTCATGGCTCTTGTCTAAAGAGCACTGCTACCTGCCTTGTTATTCCGTGGGTCATTTTCAGCCACTCTACCCCCAATCTATTTGCCAAATACCTCAAGATGTTTCTAAGAGATTCTGAATTATTGACAAATCCAGGGAAGATGCTTTGGAAAACATTAAATACAAAAGCAGACCTGTTCAGCTAGTGCAAACTTGGCCATTAGCATTTTCCTTTTTAAGGCCAAGAGAGAGAGAGAGGGGGGAAAAAAAGCCTGTCCCTGTTAAATAATAATGATATTCACAGAACAACAGACACTGCGATTCCAAAGTGCACAGTCTCTCGGCTTTACTCACCCCTAGCCATCTCGCTCCTTTATTGGCAGCCTGCTGGATCTGGACTCTTTTGAGGGTGACATGGTAAACAGCTCCTTCCTCTACCTCTTCACCCCAGTCCTGAATCGAGCTCTGCCAGGGATGGGATAAAGAGAAAAAAAAAGAGTATTTTTTTTTCCTCTCTGCTAACCACAATCTATCCCAGCTGCTTTGCTGCTTACAACAGCACTCGGGGCACAAGATGGGCTGTTCAAAATAAATAAATATTACAATCGGAGCAATACAAGACACATTGCGTTGGAGGGAACGCTGAGATTTTCTTGGCCCACAGCCCTTTCCTGTGGTATCGGGATCCCCGGACTTTTCCATTTAGTTATTTTTCCTAGACGTGCTCACATATCTTAAATAGTTTTTTTTTTTAAGTCTTTCTTTTTCTTCATAAAGAAACTGTGGTTTAGTCCTGATTAACTTGTCCCCTTAAGTGAAAGGAACAAGAATTCTTTTGTAGAAAAAGTTTGTACTTTTAAAAGTGGCTCCGTCATTTGAACAATCTAGATTTTCGACTCAGACACAAACAAGTGTTTAAAAAGCCACGAGTCCTCACCCCTTTGGAAGAAGTGGCTTGCGTGTCTCCTTCTCCTCATATTGTTTTGGAGCCGAAAAGTTAGCGGGGGTGGAAAGTATTTATTTCCGTAAAATAATCTGGCAAGTGCAGAAAAAGCAACACATCATCATGCAGCTTGAGCTGCAATCTGTCTGTGCAGCGACCCCCTGGATTTCCATGTCCCCGGCTAAACCTTCGCGTTGAGTTAAAGGGCCGCCGGGACGCAGAAGCGCTCCGCGTCCACCCAGGCTAACAGTTCTTTCTCCTTTCGAGTTCTCCTCTCCTGACACGCATCTGCCCCTGACACCACAGTCAACTGCTGAGAAAGTAGGTATCGCTTCAAGGAAGAAGACGCGCAGAGAGGGAGGAATACAAAGCAGAGTGAGAAAGCTTGAGCTCACAAGTCCGGGATCGGATTGCTCCGTTCACTCCCAGGGAGTCCAAAACACGCCCAGAGAAAGCGGGAGAAGATTCCCCGGCAGAGGAGCCTCGGGAGGAGGCAAGAGCTCTCGTTACCATTTTAGCTTGCCAAAGCAATTTCATTCTCAGTTTCCTCTCCGGTACGCGGCCGCCGCATGATGCGCCCGGCTCCGAGGCCGACGCGGGGTC